AGGACCCCCCAGCCCCAGCCGCAGCCTCATCTGGGCTCAGCGTGGGCCAGGACACGGTTCGCCCCCGCGGTGCCACCCAGCTCTCTCCTGCAGTTTGGATCGAGTCCATCGGGCTGTGGATCCTGGAGGCGGTTCCTGTGGGGGGGAACATCAGCTTGGACCCCTTCCTCTTCTCCATCGGTAGGGTTGGCCATCACACGGGGGGACCCTGCCCGACAGGAGGGCAGCTCCCAGGTATGGATTTACCAGGTGCCCCCAACTGCGGGCTGCTTCCCCCCCTCAGACACCTGGAACAGCTACAGCCGGGCTCTGCACGGCTCTGGCAGGACCCTGCTCCCCATCGAGACCAACCTCGTGGATCAAGTGTGGGGTGACCAGAGACCCCCTCCAGCCTCCAGCGAGATCTACAGCCTCCCAGAAGAGTTCACGGGTACAAGCGTGCCATCCCCCTCAGGGCTGCTGGGCGGATGCTCGCCCGCAGCAGCCCCCAGCCCGGGGCCGTGGTGATCCCCGAGCTGAGCCTGCTGCTCGCTCCTCTCCCAGGGAGCAGCTGGCAGGAGAAGGTGGCCGGGATCCGGCAGCAGATGGAGCAGCACATTCGACGCCCCACGGCCGTGCTGCTGTCGGGGCTGGAGGAGACGGCCTGTGAGTAGCCACGGTGCCGTGGTGGGTGCCGTGGTGGGTGCCGTGGTGGGTGCCATGGGCTCCGAGCCCTGGGGGTGGGAGGGCAGCCGGCAGATGCAGGCTCGGAGGTCTTGTTCCTGGCAGGGCTCTTCAATCTCCGTGGAGATGACATCCCCTACAACCCCGTCTTCTACTCCTACACCCTGATGACCAACACCAGCATAAGGTGGGCACCACCTCCCCGCGGGCACAGGGCACAGATGGGGCTCAGCACCTTCCCTCCCCTTCCAGGGCCGGCATCCGTGGGACCCTCCTCGGCCCCACTGCCCCCTTCCCCAGAGCCCAGCATGTCCTGCAGTGCCCAGCCCCGTTGTGTGTCCCCTCCAAACCCTGCATATTTCCCGGCTCCAGCCCCCTCCCACCCAGCCCACCTTGGGGTGCAGCCCCCTCCCTTCCAGCCCACCCTGAGGGTGACCCCCGTTCCCAGCCCAGCATCCCCTCTGAGCCCCCCAGTCTCCCCCTCTTCACCAGTGTGCCCTGCACGGCTGGGCTCGGGGGGGGACACAGGCAGCAGGCCAACCCCACGGCTGTGCCCAACCCATCCCGCATCCTTCCCCAGCCTGTTTGTGGACGAGCAGCGGCTGTCGGCGGCGGCGCGGGAGTCCCTGCAGGCAGGCTGCCCCGGGCTGCTGTGCGTGGAGCTGCAGGAGTACGGGCAGGCACGTGCCCACCTCCGCCAGTACGTCCAGGGCAACGTCACCGTCTGGCTGGGCACCGAGTACACCACCTACGGCCTCTACAGCGTCATCCCCCAGGTGGGGCATGGCCGCGTGCCGCTGCTGACACCCGTGCCGCCGAGCCCGGCTGTGGGCGACATGGGTCCTGCTGGGCTCGGGGACGGCCCTGTGCCACCGAGCCACGGGGCAACAGGCTGTGCCGCGGCCATCCCTGGGGCATGAGGGGGTGGGTGGCTGTGCGCGGCCGTGCCACCCCCAGCCTGCCCTTGCAGGAGAAGCTGCTGGAGGACAGCTACTCCCCTGTCATGCTGGCCAAGGCTGTGAAAAACGCCAAGGAGCAGGAGCTGCTGCGAGCCGCTCACGTAAGGGCTGTCCCCATCCCCGCAGCCCCGAGCAGAAGCGGGGGGCAGCCAGGGGAAGCGGGGTGCTGATGCCCCCTTCCCCTGATGCCGCTGGGCCACCCCCAGGTTCGGGACGCAGTGGCTGTCATCCAGTACCTGCTGTGGCTGGAGAAGGTGGTCCCGCAGGGGCAGGTGGACGAGTTTTCGGCGGCAGAACACATCAATGCACTCCGCAGGTCAGTGCTGCCACCGCGGCCCCCCCTGCCCGGTGGAGGGCAGCCGGGGACCCCCTGCATCTCCCTCCCTGCTGCCTTCCAGGGCCCAGGGGCACAACCGTGGGCTCAGCTTCCAGACCATCTCCGCCAGCGGGCTCAACGCGGCGCTGGCCCACTACAGGTACAGCTCGGCCCCGGTCAGGGCCAGGGGTGCCAGGGCCGGCAGCGGCAGTGGGGAGCGGGCAGCTGGAGGCTGGGAGTGGGCTCTGACCCCCGCCCCCTCGCAGCCCCTCCAACGAGAGCAGCAGGAAGCTGTCCGTGGACGAGATGTACCTTTCGGACACCGGAGGGCAATATCTGTGCGTAGCCCAAAGGTGGCAGGGCCCAAAGCCGGCGCTGGGGCTGCGTCGCCCCCGTTCACGGCCCCCCTTTGCAGGGACGGGACGACAGACATCACGCGGACGGTGCACTGGGGTGTGCCGACCCCGCTCCAGAAGGTACCAACCCCTCCCGTGCCAGCCAGCACCCCCCTGTGGTGCCCAGCATCCCCGTGGTGCTCAGCACCAAGGTGCCAGCCAGGGCTGGATGTGTCGGGGCGAGCCTCCGGGCAGCACCACGCTCAGCCCCGCCGCCATGTCCCTTGTAGGAAGCCTACACCCGTGTGCTGATGGGCAACATCGACCTGTCCCGCCTCGTCTTCCCGCCCAACACGGCAGGTGGGTGCTGAGCCGGGCGCCTGGCAGCCCGGCCCTGCGCGGGCCCTCGCCAGCTCACTGACCCCCATCCCATTCCCCAGGGAGAGTGGTGGAGTCCTTTGCCCGCCGGGCACTCTGGGACGTGGGACTCAACTACGGCCACGGGACCGGCCACGGCATCGGCAACTTCCTCTCGGTCCATGAGTGTAGGTTCTGCGGCACTGACACCAGCGCTGGGGACACGGGCTGAGCTGCAGGGGACAGGGACAAGGGGGACTTGTACCCAGCTGAGCCTCTGGCTGCGGGCGTGTGTCCCTACCTGCAGGGTGCTGCGGTCCTTGCCAGGGTGGACCTGCAGTCCTTGCTGGGGTGGTCTCATGGTCCTTGACAGGGTGACCACATGGTCCTTACCAGGGTGGCCCTGTGTTCCTTGCTGGGGTGGCCCCACAGTCCTTGCTGGGGTGGCCCCGTGGTCCTTGCTGGGGTGGCCCCGTGGTCCTTGCTGTGGTGGCCACAAGGTTCTTGCCCATGTGACACCTCGGTCGCTGTCAGGGTGTCCCCGCAGCACACGCCGTCCCCAGGAGCTGTAACCCACCCCATGTCCCCTGCAGGGCCCGTGGGTTTCCAGTCCAACAACGTGCCGCTGGCGGCCGGCATGTTCACCTCCATCGGTACGTGCGCCTGGTGCTCCGGTGCCTCGGGCTCTCGGGGACGTCCCTGAGGGGCAGAGCCCGGCCAGGGGAGGAGGCGTTCAGCTCTCGGCCCCACTCAGGGGCCAGGTCAGGCCCCTCTGGGGTGGGATGGGCTAGGGGAGTTGCTGGGGCTCGGGACTCACTGGGCGCCTTCCCCGGCCCCCAGAGCCTGGGTACTACCGGGACGGCGAGTTCGGGATCCGCATCGAGGACATCGCCCTGGTGGTGGAGGCGCAGACCAAGGTAGCGCAATGGGGCTGGGCTGGCAGGGGTGGCACGGCACCGGGCGGCTGCACCGCGGGTTGGGGGCACCCAACACCACCTCTCTGCGGCAGTACCAGAGCGGGGAGAAGCCCTTCCTGACCTTCGAGGTGGTCTCCCTGGTGCCCTACGACCGCAACCTCATCGACCTCAGCCTCCTGTCACCGGAGCAGGTACAGGGTGCTCGGGGCAGGGGGCAGAGCAGGGATGTGGGGCCAGCACGTAGGGCTGGGGTACAGGGAGAGCAAAGGGGGCGGGGGGGGGGACATAGCAGGAAACCAGGATGACGGCACGAGGTCAGGGCAGGTAAACGGGGCTGGGAGGGGTGCGTGGATGGAGAGGGGCAATGGAGTCTGCGGATGGGGCCAGTGATCGGGGTGTGGGGTAGCTGGATGGGGTGAGCCAACGGGGGGCAAGGGGGGTGCAGGTGGTGAGGGGGGACAGGCAGCCGGGGCAGCCTCCCGCAGCCCCCTGCGGTGCCTGGCTGCAGATCCGGTACCTGAATGCCTACTACGAGACCATCCGGGCACGTGTGGGGCCAGAGCTGCAGCGGCAGCAGCTGGAGGAGGCGTACCGCTGGCTGCAGAGGAACACCGAGCCCTTCCCGCTGGGCAGCGCCGCCACCGCCGCCACCGCCACCCTGGGCGGGCTGGCCCC